AGCAATTATAGCATTTCAAACATTTGGTTCATGTCATAGCCAGCTGTTAGAATCTGTGCAGTGTTTGTTGCATTCAGCAGAGTTTGCAGCAGTACTGTGGTTGTTGGCGCCCTGGGGCCATCCTCGTCCAGCGGTATACCTTATCAGTGCATGCGTTGTTCTTTCATTGTACCTGTGTTGTGTTTGCTCTTCTATACCGTGGCATTGTTGTCCTTGCAGATAGCAGTTCTTGACATTTCCTTTCCCCCCAGCCCTAACTGCAGGCTTTCTTGTGCAGGGTTTATTTCTATTTATTTGTTTTATTTATTCATTCATTTATTTATGTTTTCCTCCACTGAGCCATTTGGCTCTAGTGTGACAGGTGCTCAGAGGGGGCTTGGAGCAAGGGACTTGCAGCTGGATTGCGGGTTGGGTAGGCCAGTCGGGTGTTCTAGCACCTTGGGGTGTGACTGTAGTTGCAGCTCCTGGACCCCTTGGGCATCCAGCCTCCATTTGTGATGTGGGTGTAAACTTGATATTAAGTTATTTATTTATTTATTTGGAATATTTATACAGGCTGGCTCAGTTCGGCTTTTAAAAGCAGGTTTACATTGCCTCTATAAATGATAACAAGGCCAGATGATCACACTGAGAATCACATTCATACTCTTTGTTGAAGTCTGTGAGTTGTTTTACTCTTTAACTCCCAAGATCTGATTATTAATTAATTCTCCCCTCCGTAGCTGCTGCACATTTGCATATTCATCAGTTATGAGAACTTTTCTGTTAGATCAAGAAAACATCCTCTACCTGAGAAGTTTGGGTATTCTCATCACCTGTTTGCTGGATAATGTGTGGATATTATAGGGAGAAGTTACCTGTTAATCATTTCTGGGAGTTAAAGGGTTAATGTTCCCTGCTTTTAACCAGTACTGAGAAGATGTAGGAGAGTATGGGGCCTATGGTTTATCATCCTTAGCTGAGAAGACTAGAATGTCTAACCATTTGGAGATGTTGTAGCAAAGGCAGCACATTCTCCTTAGTTATTTTAAGATCCCGAGTGTTGTTGCAGTTTTGGACTTGAACCTTCAACTACCCGCATAGCAAGAACATCTTCGAGATATAGAAAGAAATGACAAGAGCACATCCATACCGGTTGCTAAGCGATTTAATCTCCTTAATCTTTTTCCCTACATCTTGGCTGTTCGAAGGCCGGGCTGCAAAACTCCAGAACAAAGATTTATCTTTCAGATCGGCACTTTTCATCCCCACAGTATCAACGAACACTTTTCATTCAGCTAATTTGTTCTTGTTTTCTCGTCACCATATTCCCACCAATAGCGTGGCTCCATTTTCGGCAGATAAATACACACACAACTCACAATTCCTCCAACCGCTGTGATGAAGGGCTAACGCTCCAAACGTCAGCTTTTAAACTCTTTACAGTGGCCAATTTACATTATCAACTCAGTTAATAGTACAAAATTACACTGTTATACTCTCCCTTTGATGCAGCACCACAGTTTTTTAAGAAACTTACCCCCTTTACCTGCACAGCAGTCCAGCAATCAACATGAGCCAGCAGAAAAAAAAGATTCCTCTGTTTTAATTAATAAAATATGCGTGACTGATTGTTATCACTGAAGGTAATCACCGTTTAATACAGGTCAACGACAAAAGACAAAAAAACAACATTTAATTAATACCATAATTCATCATTTATTTTATATCGAGTTTATGTAAAAAATGTATCAAATAGCATTAACAAAATGACAGCGTAAAAACAGAACAATAGATTAGAAATCTAACAATTAGACCTCTTGGTAATAAACCAACAAATGATTTTTCTTGTGTAATTTTCTTGTGTAATATTTGTCAGATATAAACAATCCTATAGAAGGATGATAATGTGCAATTCGTTAAGGACATTTGAACTCTAAATACTAACATCGATTTTGGGAGCCAAATATGGAATAAATTTTACTTCAGAGACAATTCGTCTTTTTATTCGAGTGATTTCTCCCTAAGTGACCGTTCCATACAACCCGAACAGGCTGATGGGACTCAGTCAAGGATAACCACAAACGCTTAATAGAGACCACCGCTGAAAAGTGGTGAAAGTGACAATGCATAAGAGGAAAAAAAATCGCGAATTTGACAACCGACCGCTTAATACAGGTTCGACTATGAATTCCAAAATAGCCAATCAGCCCACGCAAAGAGCTCCATTCGCCTTTGTGGTATATTATAAAAGACCGCTCTAAGGTGGGTAGATGGAGTAGAGTTATGAAGCACGAAGAGAAAATCTAAGAAGACGAAAGAAGTCAAAGTCCAGCAATTACTCAGGGAAATTCTTATTCGTACCTTCTGAAATCGTAGCTCTAGGATTCATGAGAATCCGTCCTCTAACCACGTAGCCGTTTACACTCCCAACCCGGGGGAAAAACGGAACCTCGACCAACCGTTCCCCCTTCCCAGGGCTCTTTTTAAAATGATTGTAATATATGCTATCGTCAGTAGAGATATTCTGACGAAACATTTACGTTGTCGCAGTTTTTTTAGATCTGGGGAATATCAGGGCTTACTGACTGTTTGGATCCGGTACAAGGTCTTTAAAGGGGGAAGAAAATTTATCCTTGCTCGCTCTCACTTCGGTGAATATCTCGCTTTAGCTTCATTAAGCATCTCAGATTGAACATAACAGGAATGCGTAGCGACAACGCTCTCCCCATGCCCGTCTCTCTCAGGTTGATCCTTACTTCCAGCATTTTTCCACGGCTTGTTTTTCCCGGTTTTCCTTACTCCTCAAAAGCCAGCACTCTAAATTTGAGTTGCAAATGCCACCTTCTAAAACTGTTTTTATTTCACATATTGCATGTCACCCAGTTGAGGGCCTCCATGGGGTTAACCGTTTGCCGTAAACCGGTCGAAAAACTAGGTTTTAGGCGTTAAAATTGTCTTAAAATAAGTCTTATTTAGTGTTATTCTGGGTTAGCGGCAGTAGAAAAATGGCTACAATTTAACCATTAGCCGTAAAAAGTTCTTTTTGGTCGGCCCTCAGTTTTAAGAAAGTTTTGGTATTTTTAACAGGCTGTTTTAGTTAAGTTTGCAATCGTGGAAAAAAAATCATAAATATTTTCTACACGCGGGGAACCACACCGACCAAGGGTACCTCCCATGCTGAGGACGCTTTATATAAATAGAATAAAGCACCATGTCCCAAAGTGAAAGGTAATTTCTTTTTTCTTGCCTCTTCAACAACATCACGTCGCTTTACATGCTAAAAAAACGCGTCGCGTGATATCCTAAGGAACGGCTGCCAATGAAACCTGCAGATATAAAATCTGAAAATATCGAAGTTTATATTTCATTCTTAACTCTATCCAAGAAAATGGGCAAAAGTTGAGCGAATAAGACATAGGTGCACTCACTACTCCAAACGAAAAGATGTGACAAAACATCATATCTGTCACATAACGTGCTAAAGAAATGCGTTGCGTGACATCCTTAAAAACGGTTGCCAATGATCGATATTAGCAGTTATAGAGTCAGAAAATATCAAAGTTTATCTCTCATTCAGTAAACTTATTCAAAGAAATGTGCAAAAGTTATTAAGTGAATACCAATTCAAACGACAAGAAATGGCTTATGCAGGTTGATGCAGGAATTTTCTTCCCTTTGTTATTGATTTCCTTTTCCATTTTAACAAAATACCAAGCGACTTGTTTCATTGTTTGACATTTAAATGTTAGTTTATTGTACTTAGATAGTAGGTAAAAACTGTTATCGGAGAATCTAAATAAAATCATTTGGCTCCAACTTTCCAGCTCGTTCTGAGCTCCATCAATTGTTTGTAAGCCATAACTAAAATTATAAAGTAAAACTTCTCGTTTTGCCTTTGGACGATTAGTTTAAACAATATATTTAAAATGTATCGTTCTGCTTGTAAAAAATAACATAATTTATCGCCTTCAAAATTAAAGGAGAAATCTCAGAAAATTAACTAATACCAGACTAAATCCTTGCCATTACGGCCAAAATCTGTCATTTTGAGTCGTTTTGAGATCAAACGAATTCTGATCGGCAGAAACTAACTTTAAGTACCAATGACTGAGTATAAATCCTCGAAAAGTTCATCACAATTTCCATCTGACATAGACTAAGATAATCGAGCAATCGGACAACTGATTATTCTCCAATTCTTATGGAAATTCTCTACACACGCACATGGCTGTAATAGCTTTATATCACTCATGAGACTAAACTAAACAGATTAAGAAAAACTCTGTAAAAAAACTCTAGAAAAGACGTTTCAACTTCGAAGTAAATGTAACGCCCAAATCCTCTCAGTAGAAAATACTTAGATTAAAAATAACTTCTCACATAGCTAGTCATGATAATTTTAAGATATCATATGGAAAAAATAACAAAAAAACAAAACAAACAGTTGTTTGAGAAGGATATCAAAGATTAAGCTCCTAAAAGCAGTTCAGACAAGCAAAAAGGCAACTTTTGAATCAATGGAAATCTGTTCTCTTGTTAAACTTGACTTTGGCCGTCTTTTGGTTCTTCCTGCTTTGAAAAGAAGACTCTTGACAAAGGTTTCGTCTGTAGCTTACTGGTTTCTGGTCCAAATATCAGCATTTGTACATATCCGAAAACACCCTGGGATTCCAATGCTCTCTGCTTTGACTGAAAAATAAAAGAATCTAAGTTTAGGGAGGATAGTTGAGTTGCCATGAAACATTTCTTAGCACATGAAACGATACACTGCACAACAGGATTGCTTTAAAGGAACTTTGCTATTTTACTCCTATTATGTTTCCAAAATAGAATGTTATCATCGTAAATGTGACCACTTGATTGTACTGCACCTCAGTTTGCAGAAAGAAAAATAAATTGGTAACCCAACGGAAAGGAAAATAACACGCAAGTATGACTGCTCACATATGAGCAAAGATTATGATTTAATGTAACTTTGTATTGAATAGAATGTATTAACAGAATTATTACTTACTGCTCTAAATTTCCTTGAAATCCAGGCTGACGTCGTCACCAATGAGTACAAATGGTGCCCAGTAAATCACCTCCTTGAACTTTTCAATTTCTCTCATACGCTTCATGGCCTGATTGAGAGCTTCGCTTGCCTTCTTGCCTTTGGCAAGTGCATAGTAGAAGAAACTCATGAACTCCAGGGTTCCCTCGTCGCCAATCGCCCACAAGGTTACCACAACAGATCTGGCACCGGCACCCAAAAGTGCACGGGCCATGCCGACCACACCCTCGGCCATCACCTCCCCACGAGCAGTGTGACAGCAGCTAAGTACAACCAGACGTGCTCGCAACCCAGCTTCTATGACATCTTTCATCGTCAGTAGATAGTCTTTCTCTTGCGGCTGAGGGTTATCTCTTGTGGTGTTTGGTGCCAGGATAACTTCTCCAGTTTCCATCTTACCGTGCGCTGCTATGTGAACTAAGGCCACTGATGATATTCGTTTTAACACTTCATCTTTTGTTGCCATTTCTCCAGTGAGAGGGGAGACATTGAGGATACGTCCAATCATCTCCACTTCTTTCCTTGCTCCTGGAAGTTGCACCAAAAGTCCTCCCTCATAGATGATATGTTTGAAACATGGGTCGCCGACAAGCAATGCACCAGTCTTCATGTGAAAGTCAGCTGGACAATCATGAATTAGTTGCAATGTCGTCAGAGAGGGAAGCACACGAATTTTGAAAGAATCACTTAGATATGATGAGTTGGAGTCCAGCAACGCTGCATAAGGTACAAGGCAAAATGGCCCCTCAGGAACGAATGTGATCTCGTCGTTGCCTTCGATCAGGTCAGCAATAGGAGTAACGATGATGTCATGCAGCTTCTTTAAAGCACTGGATTGGGAGTGCCTCACATCAACTCGGATCACGTCATTGGCCACTTCATCATCTGTCGGCGAGTCAAGCGGAGGATTTTCGATGGTAACAGTACCTCTTGTACCGATCTCCTTAAGAGCAGTTTTGGTCAGTAGCTGGATGAAAAATTTCAATTCATCCTCGTACTTGTATTTGTTCACGTGCACTTCTCTCATCTGGATGTTATCTTCACTGAGGCAAACCCAGAAGTAAACACATGGTCCATTAATAGCTATGAAAACTGTGCTCAATGGAACCCACCTCAGAGAAGTGCGGAATGCGCTGGGCGTCAAAGAATCGCCAGGCTGATATTTTGTGACCATGAGATCTCTCAGAGCTTGAGCACGTCCTTTCTCTGTGGCAAGAAGAGCCTTCACAACTTGACCTCGATTGAGATTTATACGCCACAAACCTTTGTAGGCTACTTGGTGCTGATTACGATAACAAATCTTCCACTGATCGTTGAGTTGAAGACTGGCCCTGATATCATCATACAGTTCTACACTCGAGTAATAACAGTCAAAGGCCATCATAAGATTTCCTTGACAATCAAAACTGCTTCCAAGGGAACAGAGTGAGCACGCCTCTTCAGTCTTACCTCCCACTTCTTTGGATATTTCTAGGTGACGTTGAAAACACTCAATAGCTTTTTTCAACTCTCTTTGACCCTGATGAATTCTGCCGAGAAGGCAATAACTTTTTCCCTCTCCAGCCTTGTCTCCCACTTCTTTAGCAATTTCTAGATGACGTTGATGGTACTGGATGGCTGTTTTGAACTGTCCTAGACCGTAATAAGCGTTACCGAAATTGCAATAACTTTTGCCCTTTTCTCCTACTTCTTTAGCAATTTCTAGATGACGTTGATGGTACTGGATGGCTGTTTTGACCTCTCCTAGACTGCCATAAGCGTTGCCGAGATTGCCATAACTTCTTCCCTCTCCGGCCTTGTCTCCCACTTCTTTAGCAATTTCTAGATGACGTTGATGGTACTGGATGGCTGTTTTGAACTGTGCTAGACCTTCATAAGCGTTGCCGAGATTGCCATAACTTCTTCCCTCTCCGGCCTTGTCTCCCACTTCTTTAGCAATTTCTAGATGACGTTGATGGTACTGGATGGCTGTTTTGAACTGTCCTAGACCTTGATAACCGTTGCCGAGATTGCAATAGCTTCCTCCCTCTCCGGCCTTGTCTCCCACTTCTTTAGCAATTTCTAGATCACGTTGATGGTACTGGATGGCTGTTTTGAACTGTCCTAGACCTTGATAAGCGTTGCCGAGACCGCAATAACTTCCTCCCTCTCCGGCCTTGTCTCCCACTTCTTTAGCAATTTCTAGATCACGTTGATGGTACTGGATGGCTGTTTTGAACTGTCCTAGACCTTGATAAGCGTTGCCGAGACCGCCATAACTTCTTCCCTCTCCGGCCTTGTCTCCCACTTCTTTAGCAATTTCTAGATGACGTTGATGGTACTGGATGGCTGTTGTGAACTGTCCTAGACCTTGATAAGCGTTGCCGAGATTGCCATAACTTCCTCCCTCTCCGGCCTTGTCTCCCACTTCTTTAGCAATTTCTAGATCACGTTGATGGTACTGGATGGCTGTTTTGAACTGTCCTAGACCTTGATAAGCGTTGCCGAGACCGCAATAACTTCCTCCCTCTCTGGCCTTGTCTCCCACTTCTTTAGCAATTTCTAGATCACGTTGATGGTACTGGATGGCTGTTTTGAACTGTCCTAGACCTTGATAAGCGTTGCCGAGATTGCCATAACTTTTTCCCTCTCCGGCCTTGTCTCCCACTTCTTTTGCAATTTCTAGATGACGTTGATGGTACTGGATGGCTGTTTTGAACTGTCCTAGACTTTCATAAGCAACGCCGAGATTGCCATAACTTCTTCCCTCTCCGGCCTTGTCTTCCACTTCTTTAGCAATTTCTAGATGATGTTGATGGTACTGGATGGCTGTTTTGAACTGTCCTAGACCTTGATAAGCGTTGCCGAGATTGCCATAACTTCTTCCCTCTCCGGCCTTGTCTCCCACTTCTTTTGCAATTTCTAGATCACGTTGATGGTACTGGATGGCTGTTTTGAACAGTCCTAGACCTTGATAAGCGTTGCCGAGATTGCAATAACTTCCTCCCTCTCCGGCCTTGTCTCCCACTTCTTTAGCAATTTCTAGATCACGTTGATGGTACTGGATGGCTGTTTTTAACTGTCCTAGACTTTGATAAGCGTTGCCGAGATTGCAATAACTTCCTCCCTCTCCGGCCTTGTCTCCTACTTTTTTAGCAATTTCTAAACGACGGTGATGGTACTGGATGGCTGTTTTGCACAGTCCTAGACCTTGATAAGCGTTGCCGAGATTGCCATAACTTCTTCCCTCTCCGGCCTCGTCTCCCACTTCTTTAGCAATTGCTAGTTGACGATGATGGTACTTGATAGCTGTTTTAAACTTTCCTAGTCCTTGATAAGCGTTGCCGAGATTGGAAGAACTGTTTGCTATGACTATTAGTTCAGCATTAGTTTTCCTTAGTAATTGAAGCAGACGTTTGTTGTCATTTTCAATCTTAAAACGTGTCAAGGGTCGATAAGTCACGAGCAAATTTGCGAAAATGCAGTGGAAATGTGTATTTTAAAAAACAGTGAGAGTATTAGATGGAACCTTAAAACTGGAATGAGAATTCGAACGTGGGTTTTTTTAAGAGATTTGATTTCAAGTTATTGGAGAGTTTTAACTACCTCTGAAGCGCATTTATTGGTTTAGGTTCGGTCGTCATGGTGATGCTCGTCTAAAGAAAAAACGAGGTGTATTCACCTCAAACTCTGGGAATTAATTAATATGGCCTCTTCTTTTGAGTAAAGTTTCGTGGAATAGTCGAAAGAACTCTTTATGAATATTTTAGCTTCTTTAAACTATTCAGTGCAGTATAAGAGAATCGAACGTTGCTCGCATTATGTGTTGAAGAATCTCTCCGGAACGTATTGATTTCCTTTGAAATATTATTCGCATTGCATCTCGTATCACGTTTGAAACATTCGTTAAAGGATACGGCCAATCCCATATGCAACCAGCTCCTTGCTTCTTTATACAAGCAAAGTTCGACACAAGCTCTGGCTCCTGAAAAGGAGAGAATAATTGGTGGTACGAAGTAACTCATCACTGTTAAAGTATAAACGTACTGATAAAATGGACTTAATTTCCCATTTAGCTGGGAACAAAAATTGTGATAATGAAAGAAATTTAAGAGAGTGTCTCTGTAAGAGCGGTCCGGTCGATTCTGCTTGAGGCACGGATTTCGCTCATTTCTTGTGTGTTGTAAGACATTCATGTACCTATACTAAAACCACAATCCGTTTGATCGGATCTCTTTATTTTTCAGAGTTTTACGGAAATTAAATTTCACTCGAGCGAAGGCTTGTCGTGACACTTTTCAAGACTTTAATTTAAGACAACTTTGAAGGACAATTTACAAAAAACTACGGAACTTAGCAAAAGATAAATACCACAGCCATGTATATTAACTCTATCTTATCCATCGAGGCGACTTTCGTGAACATCACGTTTCAATCAAGGAAACAGGAAGACTTGAATGACACCTTATCCGTTGGCTTAAGTCACACATGCCAAAACCGATCAAATTCAATGTAAACTTTTGAAAAAGTGAGGCGTTCTTAACTGATCCAACTAACATAGCTAGGAAGTAAGTGCTATAGAAAAGGTAACTACAGAAAAAAACTTTGCGGCCCGACCTTTACGAAAACTTTATAACTCCGTGAACTTACCTAATTTTCGGCAATTTCCAAGTTTAGCCGCCATTTTGAGGGACTTGTCAATATGGAGCGTAGCAGATATAAATCAAGCAAGTAGATCTAAAACCGTCAGAAATACATACGAAAGCAATTCAAATGAACTTTACTTTCAATTCAAGCGGCAAAATTTGAAATGTTTCGTTAAACTTACCATTCCTACATCCCCATGCGACCATTTCTTTCAACAATTCAAACACTACAACTAGTGTTCGAATTCCCCTCGTCGATTCCATCGTAAGAAATAACCTGTGCCACTCAAGCCTCGACTAGAATGTGAAGTACGAATCAAATAACATAACTGCTTCATCTTGGAGGCAATATCACGCTGGTATTTTGATTTTCTGATAGACAAGAACGGTAATCAGGAAGCGATCGCCATGTTTACCTCATAAAACTGATCGCTGACCAGCCGCTGAGTGAAAACAATACGGCTCAGTGGTGAGGGGCGGGGTGTGGGGTGGGTGCGGGCAGATTATCAAAGGATTTTTGGGAACATTCGAACATATGCATTAAAGTATCATAATAAGCATTAGGACTGTCAGTCTTAATGCAAAGGCATGCTTCGTGTTGCAGACAACTTTTGCTTTGCTTAGTATTCTTTTTTCTTTCAAGTACATTTCGTTCCAAATAGGACTGGCGTCAATTCATAGATTTATAAACAAATATTTACCATGTAAATAAATGTTTTTAGGTAATCGAGATAACCATTGAACCTCTTGTATCGCTTTAGAAGTAACGTGTCTTGTCTTTGCCCAACTCTGAGAGCGTGGAGCGGCAAAGACGCGAGACACGAGTCTCGCGTCTCGCTGCTTCTCCATGCTCAGAGGATACGCGTGACCTCACTATCTTTAAGAAAAAAAAGGGACTGCTCGGAGTCTGTATTCCGTTCAACCATCTCATAAGAGTGACGCGAGTCTTTTCAATTGAATGAAAAAGTCACAAACCCATTCTTTACCTCACGAGCGTAACCACTGACCACTCACGAATTCACTCAGTAAGCTTCTCCTTTGGCGCGGAAATTGAAATCGTATCGAGTAAACAAAGTTATAGTGAGTTCCTTTAGATCTCCCGGAGCTCCCAAAGCGATACAAGTTCGGGCCGAACTTGTATCGCTTTGGAAACAATTACAAGTACAGGAAGAAGTCGTTCGTTAGCGATACGTTCATTATGTCTCAGGACTGTTTTTTAAATAGCAAAGATGGGAAAAACTTTGGTTCATCGCATGGCTTAAGTGATTTTGTACGACTGTCTGAATGCAATGATGAAGTAAAACATAATTTGATAAGCTGCCACCTGTCTAAAGAGGTCTTATGTGAAAATGAGCTTAGCTTGGCAAGGACTGGCCTATTTCACCTCGCTCAGGAGGGTAAACAAAAAAATTTGGATTAGCTATAGGCATCGCCACGCTTTGGGGAAGTTTTGGAGAAGTGCAAATGTAACATGTCAGTATCCTGATCATGATGGTGTCAGGAAGCGTATCCAAGGCAGAGATGTAATTACCTTGCATATGTCTCAGGACATTCAAAAGCTGTTTGGAGGTATTATTCCAGTTGAATCAGGTAGTCCTCAGTAACATTTTCTGTTATCTATTTTTGTCTCGTGACATATCTGCTCGAAAAGAGAAGAAACTCCTTATTAGATTAAGGGTACTTAAGTACACATCACGTTATATGTACAATGTTGCTTGGTTGATAATCAATAATGTTTTTCTAGAAGATCAAATCACCTGAAAACGCAATACACTTATTCATGCAAACGGTTCATAATTATTTGCGGTCAGTTTTCCTCAGTTTGTATGATTCTCATTAACCAGTATGATTAAATTTGCAGACTAAACCACCCCTTATTTGATTTAGAATAATAAAGTAAATAGTGCATGTCGGTTTTCAATTCCTGATGGATGCTACTGGGCTTCACTTTAACTGAGAAATTTGCAATCGCTTACTACAGCTCTGAGGCCCATACCGTAAGAAGCACAAGAAAAAAGTTGATGATAGTGAGTCTTGGCTGAGACAAGAAGAATTAGAGAAGAATCTACGGTCCTCAGAAACGCCACTTTTAAACACGAGACAACTAAGGTAAATTGAATTAAGTGGTATTTGTTTTTTTGAAAACTATCGTTCAGATTATAAGATACGCGAATTACTCTCCCCACCGAATTTCAGTAATTATATTATAATAGTAACAGTTTCCAGGATCCAAGGGGAGCAAAAGAGAGAACAATTTTCTGTGTTGTCTGGTAAGGCAACGTGCTGGCTTTATACTTCTTCCGGCGTGATAACGATAATGATGACAACGATGGTTAAAAAGCACTGTCCGCTATTAATGACGATCATCATAGTTATAAACAAATCTCAGTTATAGTCCTGAAAATAATCTAAATCGGCTTCATATCGCCAGAAGTCAAAGTTGCTCACACTCATTCTAAGGTTCGTGCGATTTTACGACGAATTTTCAATTCAGGTGTGTTGCGCGCGCGACTTTTGATAGAAAAAACCTGCACGCGCTATAACTTAAAAAAACGTGTCAGCTGAATGAATCAAATCTCTATCATTTTGCATACATTCTTGGGAATTGCAAAAACGACTTAGAACAAACATTCTTAATATAATGTTCATTCCGTGCAATGGGGCATTGACAAAAGGTTCTGGTGGAGAAGACACCTTATTTTATACCACTGATGACGAGCAAAAAAGGTCATATGGTACCCCGGTTAAAAATATATATTGATAACTCTATTAATTAATACCAGTTCTAATGTAAAGGAGAAAGTTATGAGATAAAATAAAAATTGTCTGTACCACGAAGCATGCCTCCACTGTTTAGGCTGGGAGTCCTGAAGCTTTTTAACTATGTATTCGAATATCTTATGGCAATAAGCCCGCCGCTCACCCCCCACCCCACCCCGCGCTATACCATTTTCACTCAGCGGCTGGTCAGCGGTCACGTTTATGAGGTAAACATGGCGATCGCTACCTGATTACCGTTCTTGTCGATCAGAAAATCAAAATACCAGCGTGATATTGCCGCGAAGATGAAGCAGTTATGTTATTTGATTCGTACTTCACATTCGAGTCGAAGCTTGGGTGGCACAGGTTATTTCTTACGGTGGAATCGACTAGGGGAATTCGAACACTAGTTGTAGTGTTTGAATTGTTGGAAGAATTGGTCGCACGGGGATGTAGGAATGGTAAGTTCAACGAACAGTTTCAAATTTTGCCGCTTGAATTGAAAGTAAAGTTCATTTGAATTGCTTTCGTATGTATTTCTGACGGTTTTAGATCTACCTGCTTGATTTATATCTGCTACGCTCCATATTGACAAGTCCCTCAAAATGGCGGCTAAACTTGGAAATTGCCGAAAATTAGGTAAGTTCACGGAGTTATAAAGTTTTCGTAAAGGTCGAGCCGCAAAGTTTTTTTCTGTAGTTACCTTTTCTATAGCACCTACTTCCTAGCTATGTTAGTTGGATCAGTTAAGAGCGCCTCACTTTTTCAAAAATTTACATTGAATTTGATCGGTTTTGGCATGTGTGACTTAAGCGAACGGATAAGGTGTCATTCAAGTCTTCCTGTTTCCTTGATTGAAACGTGATGTTCCCGAAAGTCACCTCGATGGATAAGATAGAGTTAATATACATGGCTTTGGTATTTATTTTTTGCTAAGTTCCGTAGTTTTTTGTAAATTGTCCTTCAAAGTTGTCATAAATTAAAGTCTTGAAAAGTGTCACGACAAGCCTTCGCTCGAGTGAAATTTAATTTCCGTAAAACTCTGAAAGATAAAGAGATCCGATCAAACGGATTGTGGTTGTAGTATAGGTACATGAATGTCTTACAACACACAAGAAATGAGCGAAATCCGTGTCTCAAGCAGAATCGACCGGACCGCTCTTACAGAGACACTCTCTTAATCGCTAAGCAAAGAGAGATAGGAAATTTTGAATATCTTTTAAACAGTTATATCGAGTCTCCAAAATAACTTGTTACTATTTTTGCTTGCTTCTTAAATTGTCTATTAATAATTTTTATCCTTCTATCATGAAAGTGTAGAATTATTTAAATATCAATTTTGATTTTGAAAAATTGTCAAATACTTGTGAAAAATTCGTGGCTGGTATGACGCGGCGTTTCGTCTCGGCCTTACTGAAAGTAACTTAACAAGTAAAATCTTGGATCAAGAGCTTGATGTAAATGGATATAATTTCATAAGAATGGATAGAAAAACGGAAGATGGTGGTGGTGGCTGTTTGTTGTATTATAAAGATAACATATGCTTGGATGAAAGCCCTACATTTGCCCCAGAAAAGGACGACACCGAAACTATTTGGGCAGACATCAACTTCCACTCACAACACCTTGCATTAGCATTAAATTAATGTATAGACCGCCAAAAGATCTGTCTTTTTACGAAAAGCTTGAAAAACTTGATAAGCAGCTACAACATATATCAAGGAGAAGGAATAACATCTTCATAATAGGTGATTTGAACTCTGATGTTTCATCAAAACCATCTGAAAATGGAAGCAAACTAAAGCAAATCTTGAGAAAGCATGGGCTATCAAATGTCATCAAAGACTATACAAGAGTAACTGAAACTTCTAGAAGTACTATTGACCTATCTATCACAAGCAAGAAATGTCAAATCAAAACTGCTGGAGTTTTTGATATTGGAATTGCTGATCACAGATTAAATTAGGCAGTCCTAAGATTATTTCACCAGAAACCTCCTCCAGTGATAAGAGAAGTGACAGACTGGAAAAACATCAATATTGAGAGCTTCAAAGAATCCTTGTCTTAAGTACCCTGGCATGTGCGTAATACCTTCGATGAGGTAGACGATAACTACTGGTTATTACAATACATGTACAATGAAATTGCGAATGAACACTTGAAGAAAAGGAAAGCAAAAGTAAGAATTAATTCTGTTCCATGGATAAATGGGGAAATAAGAAAACTTATGAATAAACGATATAAACAACTCCGCAAAGCTCAAACTACAAATTCTCCTGGACTGGAAGTTGTACAGAGATCTTAGAAATGAAGTACACAGAAAACTAAAGAAAGCTGAATCCATGCATTATCTTGAGGCTCTTGAGAACACAAGAAATGGAATGAATCTCAAGTAAGATGACAGAATCAGTTATTTGTGATAGCATCGATGATCAACTAGACAAAGTAATACAAAGAAATCAGTGGGGTTTCAGAAAAGGTTTCTCCACAAACTCGCTATTGCTATATAATACAAAGATGTGGAAAAGAAATCTGGATAAAAGAAATGTGGTTTGTACAGTTCTTATCGACTTTAGGAAAGCATTCGACTCAATGGATCATTCAATTTAGAGTCATAAGATGGATGCTCGCGGTTCACATGGTAAATTGAAAGACTGGATTCAAAGTTACCTCGTTGATCGAAACAATTTGTTGTAGTAAATGGGAAAAGATCTGGCCTTCAAATAGTGCCCTATGGTGTCCCACAGGGATCCCTCTTGGGACCAAAGCTATTTCCGATCTTAGTAAATGACTTACCTGACTGTCTATCAAATGGTGAAATCCACCTCTATGCTGATGACACGACAGCATTCCTTATTGGAAAGAATGAAGATGAGGTAGTACCTCTACTTAACATTATATGCTCAGAAATTAGCAAATAGTGTAATAGAAACAACCTCACAATTCACCCAACTAAATGCGAAGTCATGCTAATCTCAAGAAAGAGCTTCACTGGCCCATTGAAACCTGTCAAATGGGGAAACAAATGTCTAGAGTATACGGATAAAGTAAAAGTACTTGGAATATATATTGACAACAAACTGACTTGGAAAATACATATGAAAGAGGTAACTTAATCATTTAATGCACAGTTAAAGTCTCTTAAAAGAATATCCTATCTGTCAACTAAGGAATTGGAAAGTATCTATTTTAAGTTGATTATACCGCACATTAATTACTGTATATCTGTATGGGGAAACTGTTCAACCTCTGCTTCTGAAACCATTGAAGCATTGCATGTAAAAGCTGCGAGATTAATCCACAGACTCCCTTCTTCTTTTGAAGATCATGATGTAACAAAGAAGGTATATTGGCAGAACATTCGCAATATCTATAAAGAGACTTGCTTTAGAAATGTTTCAAATTATGAACTCTGATGGATGTCTCAGATTATCTCACATGTTCAAACAAGTAAACTCTCTGTCATAAACAGTCACGCGTATTTGTTATGTAATCAAAGTCGTCACGCTTTTCGTTTTGTTTGTACAAAGAGAGCACATGACAACAACTTGATTTACTGGTTTTTGTAGGATATCAAATTTAGTGTGTATATTAGGGGCGTGTGATTTAACTCGAGGGGTTCTTTCTGTACGATATCAGAGTGGAATAAATCAGAATTTATACGAAAACGATTACGACTACTTCGTGTTTATAATATGGCGCCCAACGTGGGGCTCGAAATCACGACCTGAAGAAAAGATGTCAGAAGGAGATCTACCACGACTAAGAGCAACTCGCGGGGCCAACAGAGGAGTCATAACGAAGCTCATCGGCGAAGCCGATACAATCTTGGAAAATGCGACCTCCGAATTGGATATCAAAACAAAAAACAAGTTAACGAGAATCGAAGAAATGTTAAAGGAAAAATCGAAACTGGTCTCAGATCTAGACGAAAAAATCGTATCCGTCTGTAAAGTGGAGGAAATCGAAAAGGAAATTGACGAAGCCGAAACATTGAAAATGCGAGTAATGGACGCTCTTGCGAATATTTCCCTCACGACAACGCCCTCAAATACGAGTACAACTTACACGACAACCGGTGGATCCGCGGCACAATTTACAGAAAACAACCCTTCTATTCCGACCGGTTCACTATCGACGCCTCCTTCGACTCAAGCCATACAAACAACGGGATCTCCTCCAGCTTCTTCAGCTCCTCCTTCGCCGAATCAAACTTCCCAACATAGTGGTACACCTCCTTCAACAAATGCAGCGACATCTAAACTACCAAAGCTCACCCTACCGAAATTTAGAGGCGAAGTGACTCAGTTCAAGCCGTTCTGGGATACATTCGAAAGTGCCGTCCATTCGAACCCGAATTTATCGAAAATCGCAAAGTTCAATTATCTAGTAGCTCAACTCGAGGGAGCAGCGTCACGCGCCATTGCAGGGTTACCGATTATCGAAGACAACTACCAAGCGGCTGTGGACATTTTGATGAAACGATTCGGAAAACCACAACAAATCATCGCTTCCCACATGGACGAACTTTTGAAAATCTCCGTATGTTCTTCAGAAAGGCCTTCTCAACTCCGTTATTTGTATGACAAAATCAGCGTAAACGTAAGAGGCTTAGAAGCCCTGGGCATCAAATCTGCACAATATGGAAGTCTTCTCATTCCGGTAATTATGTCGAAACTTCCTCCCGATATACGAATTCACGTCGCTCGCAACACTAGTCAAGATGTCTGGGAAATCGAACCGCTGCTCGACCTATTACAACGCGAAATCGAAGCGAGAGAAATGAGCGAAAGAGTTAAAACCGTCCCACCTTTAGAATCAAAACGACAGCCTCCTCCACATTTTGTTCCTGATAAATCGAAGGTTTTGCCACCCACTATTCCACCCGGTACTTCTGGTGCCTATCTTGCTGATTCACAAACCCAACAGTTTGCGCCGACTTGTGTTTACTGTTCTGGGAAACATTTCTCAGCTTCGTGCGAAACGGTCACCGAATTAAACGCTCGCAGAACCATCCTTGCTCAGGACAAAAGATGTTTCATGTGCCTTCGAAAGGGACATCAACAGGATCAATGCCAGAAAACTTGCAGGAAAGACCTAGGGACCAGACGATCAACGAAAGACAGAATACTGGCATCACAACAGCAACTACGACAAATCGCGAGAGTTCAAAACCGAATTGCAGAGTGTTACTTCAAACAGCTAAGGCTGTAGCGACAAACGAAGATGGGACTAGATCGACCGTGGTGAGATTACTTTTCGACAGTGGAAGTCAGCGCTCTTACATCACTGAGAATTTACGAGCAACACTTCATCTGAAATCACTTCAAACTGAACGACTCAACTTGAACACATTTGGAGAAGCAAAGTACAAGAAGCAGAATTGCGATGTTGTGAAATTACAAGTACGAAGGTCTGGATGCGAAGATGCCATTAAAATTTCTGCTCTGACATTTCCGGTTATTTGTTCGCCTTTACCTGGCAAGGTCTCTGTAAACTACCCGCATTTGGATGGATTGGAGCTAGCGGATGAACCGTTTGACGCCGAAGGTTCGATTCATATTCTGATCGGCTGCGATTATTACTGGCATTTTGTAAAGGGGGAGACAAGACGAGGAGACGAAGGTCCCATTGCTGTAAATAGCAAACTCGGGTGGCTGCTGTCTGGACCAGTTAAAGGAACACTCGATCGGAGTTATGTTACGCATTCAAATTTAATAATCGAGTAATCATTGATTAATGATGGTTAATTAACTAGTGATAGAGATATCGAATTTCCTTTATAATCTAGTGCGTGGCCTAGCGTCTCATCTTTTGTCAGATCCGGAGACGAGGCGTAATCTCTTATTCCTTCACGTTCTTTTCTCCAAACTCTTTCGTTCCTAATGGCACTCTCCGCAGGCGCACGTCCAAAACGCCGCTCCAAGAAGGTGTCTGATCCAGACTTCGTGTACGATTTTCCAACGGACTCGCTGTTTCATGACGCTCTCATTCTGGAGCAGAGCAATCCCGTTGACCCCGTTCTCTTCGAACAGTCTACCAAGTCAGAAGCTAGATCGTCTAAATCAAAAACCAGACCAGTTACAGTACCTGGAGCTTCTTCACCGCCATTCGTTCCTGACGCCGATACCAATCCTTCTCTCTCATTCGACCAGCAGCTTCAGTTGATCAAACTACAAAAGGAAAAGTTGGAGCTGGAGGTGAAAGTACTTGCCATGAGCCGCCAGGAACGCCCTCTCGAAAATTCGTTCGCAGATCTCTCCACGCAAGACGCCAGAGATGCTATTGCGCCAGGACGCACCAAGCGCAACATCGACTGGCCACAGGATTTTGTTCCGTCCATTCAAGGTGAATATGTTAAGTTAGAACTGCCCGAGTTTGTTTCGGGTTTCTTGATTATGATCAAAACCTATGATTCTTCGCTAAAGGATGCCATGTTAGCTCATCTCGAGTTACTACTCACTAAAGCAATTAGTTATTCGTGGATTAGCGTTCGTGGTTTTCATAAATTTATCGCCAAACAGGTCGAACAGCGTCGTTTGGAATGGCAGGATTTTAAGTCTATCCAAGATCAAGCCACAACCTTTTTTCGCCATTCAGATTTACGACATACACGACAGCGAATTGACAACCCGCGTCAACCCTCTAACAACGCATCCTCGGGTGATCGTCAACAGGCGGTTCCACCCACAGTTAAAAAAGCTTGCAAAACCTGGAATTACACTGGCTCTTGTGATTGCGATCCGCAAGATGAAGTTAATTACAAAGAACATCACCGCTGTCGAGTGTGCAAGGCGGATCACCCGATGCTTCATTGCTCAAAACGTCGCACACCAATCCCACCCCAATGACAACTAGGCCGAGTAATTCCAGACGAAATTTCCTCAGCGACCTCTTTGACCCGGAACGGAAACGGACATGAACATTTTAAAAATTCAGCAGTTGTTCGACATTTAATTGCTTCTCGTCTCCAGCAGCCAAATGCCTTCGGTGCCAAGGTTTTGGTTCCTACTTCGCTCTTGCTTTCGAACTGGAGAACACTGCTTTCCAATTATCATGATAACATTGTGATCGATTTTCTTTCGTACGGTTGGCCTGTTAATTATACAGCACACACTCCTCCTGTTTCATCATTGCATAATCATCCATCTGCTACGAACTTTGATTCGCATGTGCAAACCTATTGTGAGAGATTATTCAGCGTTAATTGATTTCCGGTTGATTTTTTGCGATAAGTGACAGATGATTGAACAATAGGATCATATTATATATTTAAAATGAGAGAGACCAGAGCAAAAGACAGAGAACGGTGAGAGAGAGCGGGAGATTAAGTTGATTTTATAAAATAAAACGTGAAGTTTCGGAACATAGCAGATTCTTTAGTCTCATTTCCGACACAGTGGCACCTCCGACGGGACGCGCGAAGCATGGAGGAACTAACCAAAGAAGCAGAGGCTAAATTGCAGATGTTGCTGTACACTAATGGAAAAACACGTGGCATTGTGGAAAAGGGAAACCTTGGAGCGGTCGCGCGACATCGCGACAACCTACAAGCATTAGTAAAAGAAGTAGACGCGCTTAAACTAAAGGTTGAACAGACCATGTTCAAGGCCGGGAAAAGTGCAGAAGACGTTGGAAGTTGGAGCAGTAGCATTGAAGAACCGATCGCCGAAGCTGACGAAGAAGTTTCGCGACTAGAAAAATGGCTCGTGGAGACGAATGGAGAGATCGAACATCGAAAGCACAAGGACGAAGAAGAAAGGAAAGCCCGTGCTCGTGAAGAGGAGCTTAAATTCGAAAGAGAGCAAATGGAGATGAAGCTAGAATTCGAACGCCAACTGGAAGAGACCAAGGCAAAACAGCAACCTGTTGAGAAGGTTAATCAGACTGAACAAAGGACAACAAAGCTACCGAAACTACAGATCACAAAGTTTAATGGGACGTATGAAGCATGGCTGCCGTTCTGGAACAAATTTCAAGCTGAAATTGATAAAGCAAGCCTTGCGTCTGTGACCAAGTTTGCATACCTAAAAGAGCTGGTAGATCCAAAGGTTCGAGCGGAGATAGACGGACTGCCTTTCACAACAGAGGGCTACGAAAGGGCAAAGAATATCCTCATCGGCGAATATGGGAAAACGAGCGAGATCGTGAATGCGTACGTCCAGAACATCGCGAATTTGCCTGTCATTACAGGAACACAACCTGCGCCTATCCACGAATTTTACAAGAAGCTCGTGTACAATGTGCAATCTTTGGAGACACTGGGCAAATTGAAAGACGTCACTGGAAATGTAAGGAGTGTGCTCGACAAACTAAAGGGTGTAAAAGCAGATCTAGTGAGAGGACAAGTGGACTGGCAGGACTGGGACTTCCCACAGTTGATAAAAGCTTTGAAAAGTTGGAAGGAAATCAACCCCATTGGGAGCGGCGCGGATAATGCGGGGAAGCAAGGTGCTAAATTCCGCGATCGCGAGAAAACATTTCACGCAAACGAAACTACGCCAACACAAAGAGGGTGCGTCTACTGTGACGCAACTGACCACAGAGCTGTGAATTGCGACAAGTTTGTGACAGTTGGAGACCGCAGGAAACAATTAGGACTGAAACAGCTTTGTTTTAACTGCACAGGAAGTCGACACCGTGCTTCTGAGTGCAAATGCCGTTCTGGCTGCCAGATCTGCAGTCGAAGACATCATACGTCGATCTGTGACAAACATACATCGCGAGACCAGCTGATGACCACAACGAGCGCAGAAAGGAAAGGAGTGGTGTATCCTATGGTAACAGTGGACGTGAACGGTGTCAAATGCCGAGCATTGTTGGATACAGGAGCCGGAAGTTCCTACGCTTCATCAACGCTTCTGAACTGTTTACATTTGCGCCCTATCCGTCAACAATTCAAGCGCATTGAAATGATGTTTGGTACTTCAAACAAAGCGATAGACATCTATGGCCTACAAATTCGAAGCGTTGATGGTAAATTCACCTTGGAAGCCGAAGTAAACAAAGTCGACCGCAAAGAGTTGTTGACATTGGAAAACCCAAAATGCGCAGAAATCGTGGCTCAGTTTTCTCATTTGAAGGGCGTAACCACAAATGATAACGACGAGAAAGCGATGTTGCCTGTTCATCTGATCCTTGGAACAAACGAGTACGCTAAGATCAAAACAGGGGCAAGACCAAGAGTTGGGCGCTCGGGAGAACCAGTAGCAGAATACACGAAGTTCGGCTGGACGATCTTGTCACCTGGGACAGAGTTGGATCTCAGCAACATGTTGTTAACGCAGACCTCCGCAATTGATTACGAAGAATTGTGCAAGTTAGACGTCTTGGGGTTGAAGGACAATCCAAGTGGAGACCAGGAAACCGTTTACGAAGAATTCAAAGAGCAACTAACTAGGAGTTCAGAAGGCTGGTACGAGACGAACTTGCCCTGGAAAGGAAATCATCCCCCCTACCGAACAATCACACTGGAAGTTTAAAACGTCTCAAAAATCTCGTGCGGAAGTTAGAGATACAAGGCGAGCTGGAGAGGTACAACGACATTATCCAGACTCAACTGAGCCAAGGGATCGTAGAACACGCTGACGAGGTGGTCAAGGACGGAAAAGAGTTCTACATTCCTCATAAAGCGGTCGTGCGCGAGAATGCAGAATCTACAAAGATACGCATTGTTTATGATGCTTCTGCAAGAGCTAATGCAAGTGTCCCCTCACTCAACGAGTGCCTCGAAATCGGCCCTCCACTACAAAACCAGCTTTGGAACGTGCTGGTACGAAATAGGTTCTATCCCGTGGCAATAGCTGGCGACTTAAAACAAGCATTTTTGCAAATTCGCGTCCGAAGAGAAGACCGAGATGCCTTACGCTTTCATTGGATAAAGGATCTGGCAAGCAAACAAGTAGAAACCTTGCGATTCACTCGAGTACTCTTTGGTTTGGCACCGTCTCCATTCCTCTTGGCCGCAGTTATCAAAGAACATCTACAGCGATACAAAATGGTGAACCCGGAATTAGTAGAGGAGATAGAGCGCAGTATGTACGTGGATGATTTAATCAGTGGTGGGGAGACAACAGAACAAGCGTTAGAAATCAAGATGACAGCCACGACCATCTTTGGTGAAGCGACTTTCAAGCTGCACAAGTGGCATTCCAACGATCGGGAACTAGAAGTTGAAACTGCGACTGTAGATGAAGAAAGTCAGAGTTACGCCAAACAACAACTGGGAACCAGAAAGGGCGAATCAAAACTGCTAGGAGTCCCCTGGGACAAAGAAAAGGACGAAATTCAAGTCAGCTTCCCGATTTCAACCGCTGAGCCGACAAAAAGAGGTATTCTTGGAAAAGTCGCAAAAATCTACGATCCACTCGGTCTGGCTTCACCCGTGACCCTCTCCGGAAAAATGCTTTACAGAGACGCCTGCGACACGAAGATCGCGTGGGATAGGCCCCTACCAAGTGACTTACAAGCCAAATGGAAGAAATGGGAGCAAGGACTTCCAGAGCACGTGAACGCGCCAAGAAATGTCGTCAAGCATTCAGGGAAGATATTATCAATCGACTTACACACATTCGGGGACGCAAGCGGGAAAGGAGTTGCAGCCGCGGTTTATGCAGTGGTGGAGCAACCATCAGGCACGAATCGAGGCCTCGTGACGGCGAAGTCGCGGCTCGCGAAGAAAGGACTCACGATTCCCCGATTAGAACTAGTGGCTGGACATATGGCTGCGAACCTAGTACACAATGTGAAAGAAGTCCTGAAGGGTTTTCCCGTAAGAAGTGTCTATGGTTGGCTGGATAGCACAGTCGCACTGCATTGGATCCGTGGTAATGGCGAATACAAACAGTTCGTGGGAAATCGAGTGAGGAAGATCCAAGAAAAAGAAATAAACTGGAGGCATGTACCAACAGAGGAGAATCCTGCGGACGTGGGGAGTCGGGGAGGAGATGTGAGTAGATTGACAGCTCTTTGGTGGCAGGGGCCAAGCTGGTTAGCAAAACCACAGGACTGGCCGCCAGACCTTGTAACGACATCTACTCAAGAATCAAAAGCGGAAGAAGCGAAACAAACTCGCGAGTTGTTTGCTCTAGCAGTAGAGAAAACAGAGAACAACGACGCCTTCGATGCGCTGCTGGAGAAGTACGAGCTGTGGCGTGTGTTGCGAGTGGGTGCTTGGATCTGGAGATTCCTCCACAACATAAGAACCGTCCGTAAACAGAGAATCGTTGGTCCCATTACCACTGAAGAAATACAGAAACAGACAACGTTCTGGATCAAGCGATCTCAGCAACAAGCAAAGTCGAGCCAGAAATTTGAAGAAGACTGTTTACAGTTGAATGTGCAAGGAAACCAAGAGGGAATATTAGAATGTAGGGGAAGAATTCAAGGCCATTACCCCATCTTTCTGCCAGACTCCTCGCCCTTCACTCGCAAGTTAGTTCACCGATCACATGTCGACACACTGCACGGAGGAGTGGCCCTTACCATGACCAAAGTGCGAGAGCTATACTGGGTACCGCGTTTAAGGGCACTCGTAAAACAAGTTCTCAGAGCGTGTTCAGGCTGCAAGCGTTTTCAGGCCATGGCGCTGGCAACGCCGCCTCCCGGACTTCTACCCACTGACCGCACAGAGGGGAGCACCCCATTTGAGGTTATCGGAGTCGATTTTGCAGGGCCCATCAAGTACCGTATCAGAGCCAAAACAGAAGGAAAGGCCTATCTTGCATTGTACGCGTGCAGTCTTACCCGAGGATTATTCCTGGAAGTACTACCAAACCTGGCAACCAGTGAATTCCTAAGAAGTCTAAAACGGCTCATCGCGCGCCGTGGGCGTCCGAAGAAGATATATTCCGACAATGGCAAAACCTTTGTTGGCGCCGAGAAGTGGCTCAAACAAGTTATGCGTGACGAGAAGACACAAGATTACTTAGCACATGAGAACATCAAGTGGCAATTCAACCTCAGCCGCGCCGCTTGGTGGGGAGGACAGTTCGAGCGCCTCATCGCACTGGTAAAAACAGCTTTAAACAAGACTATCGGATGCGGAATGTTGACCTGGACAGAGCTGTGTGAAGTGGTACTGGATGTGGAGATTGCTTTGAATAATCGCCCTTTATGTTACGTCGAAGACGACATACAGTTACCCGTGCTTACCCCTAACTCACTGCTATTTCTTCGATCAAACCAGCTACCAGAACTGGAACCACACCATCTAAGAGAATTTGATCTGCGTAGAAGAGCTAAATATTTGCGAAGGTGCAAGCAGGCTTTGTGGACCAGGTGGACTACCGAATATTTACGAGGGTTGAGAGAACGACACCGGATGAAACACAAGGGTCAAACCACGCCCTTGGCCAAAGGAGAGGTAGTCATCATCAAGGACGAGGAACGAAATCGCAATAAATGGAAAATTGGAATCGTGGAAGATCTGATTCCGGGACGAGACGGAATCGTTCGAGCTGCCAAACTTCGAGCGGGGAAAGGAACACTTGAACGGGCGGTACAACACCTTTACCCACTGGAGCTGTCCTGCGATCGGGAGAATGTACAGGCTCCTCTGCAGCTCAACCCCTTAGCCCCGACATTCAGGCCCAGGAGGGATGCAGCGGTAGCCGCTCGTTATCGCATTCAAGATGCGAACATTGATGCCGATTAGAGATATTTAGGAACACTGAACTGATATACTGGACTAACTTTCTGTTTCGTTCATTGAATTTCAAATTTTATCGAGCGCGCCATTCTAGTGTTTTTCTCCGTTGAGAAAAACAGGGGAGTGTGTGAGAGATTATTCAGCGTTAATTGATTTCCGGTTGATTTTTTGCGATAAGTGACAGATGATTGAACAATAGGATCATATTATATATTTAAAATGAGAGAGACCAGAGCAAAAGACAGAGAACGGTGAGAGAGAGCGGGAGATTAAGTTGATTTTATAAAATAAAACGTGAAGTTTCGGAACATAGCAGATTCTTTAGTCTCATTTCCGACACTATCTTGACACTGAATTATCTTGGAATGCTATAGCCGGTGTAGTGTATTGCGTTACCTAAGCGTTACTATAGTCACGCTATATCCTGTAAGACACGATCGGTACATGATTGTAAAAGTACATTCCTATGTAAAAGTAGTATTACTGATTCCTAGTACTGTATTGTGAATATAGCTTGTTGATTCTTTAATAAAATTCAGTTGAGCAATAGCAATGAAAGAAGTAACTTGATTGAGTCTAGACGACACAACATACTGGCGACGAGGATTAAAAGCCAATAACGTACTCCTTGAGATGGAACGGACGGGACTTTCTACGCCACAGCCGTTCAATATCGACGCAGCCGACTTGTACTGCGAATGGCAGCACTGGGTGAGTTCCTTTGATATATACTCAGTGGCTTCCGAGCTCTCCGACAAGGACGACAAAGTCCAGCGAGCGACCTTCCTGCACTGCCTTGGGCCCGCTGTGCAAAGGATCTTCAGAACCCTGCCTGGCGAACATAAAAAACTTGAAGATGCGAAACTAGCTCTTCAAAACTACTTTGCGCCAAAACGAAACGTGGTGTCTGAAAGGTACAAGTTCCGATCCAGGGAACAGAGGCCAGACGAGCCGATAGATAGCTACCTTACAGCACTCAGAGAACTTGCGAAATCGTGCGAGTTTGGCACACTCGAAGAAGAGATGATAAGGGACCAGATCGTTGAAAAGTGTGCGTCGAAAAGCCTTCGACAAAAGTTACTGACTCAAGACGATCTGGACCTGACGAAAACGATGAAAGTGGCCAGGAGCGAAGAATCGTCAAGGAAAGATGCCAGCATGATTACAAAGGGCACCAAAGAAGACCCCATACCAGTCGACAAAGTCAACGCCAAAAAGCCTACCGATGGAGCGGACGAAAAAAGGTTCATCTGTTACAGATGTGGCGGATTGGATGGTCACAGTCCTAACGAATGCGGTGCGATCAACTCGAGATGCAATTCCTGCAAGAAAGTGGGTCATCTTGCCCGGGTCTGCAAATCAAGCAAGCAAGATCAGAAAGCAAACCGGAAACAAGGGAAAAAGTCACGAAAGAACCCCAAGAAGACGGACAGGAAAGTTCGAAACCTCAAAGCGGCAGAATGGTTCAGTGAGGAAAGCGCGGACGAGAATGAGCCTGTATTCTCAATGAACAATGAGGACAGTTCAGTCCAAGTGAAAATGGACGGACAAAAGATCCGCATGATAGTAGACACCGGATGTAAGTACAATATTATCTCGTCACAATTGTTCAATGCTAAATTTAAGTCTCATGAACTCAGACCAAGCAAAAAGCGATTTATTGCTTATGGACAGAAAGATCCATTAAATTGCAAAGGCTATTTTACTGCCACTATCAAAGTAGGAAAGAAAGAAATAAGAGCAAATGTATATGTTATACAAGGGCATTCAGAGTCACTCCTTGGGAGGGATTCAAGTTTCAATTTAGAGATAATTAGTGTAAACCTCATTCAAGACAAGCCAAGTTTTCCTAAGACTAGTGAAAATAGTGAATTAGATTCTTTACTACGTGAATTTGACGAAATATTTCATGGGATAGGTAAAGTGGCCAACTTTGAGCACAAAATTGCCGTTGACTCTAGCGTCAAACCTGTTAGTCAACGATTAAGGCGTATACCATTTAGCCAAATTGAAGCAGTTAACAACGAGCTAGACAAGATGCTCGAAAATGACATCATTGAGGAGGTCACAGAGGCCAGCCCATGGGTCTCTAATTTAGTAATCGTCCCAAAGAAATCGGGGGAAATAAGAGTGTGTTGTGACCTCAGGGAAGTAAATAAGGCTGTAATTAGGGAACGACACCTATTACCTAAGGTAGATGACACTTTGCAAGCTATGCACGGTTCGAAGTATTTTGCTAAAATCGATGCGAAGAGTGGTTTTTTTCAGCTTACGCTAGCTGAAGAGTCGCGGTACATCACTACCTTCATCACGCCTCGTGGTTGTTTTAGGTTTAAGCGTACTCCCTTCGGTCTTAGTGATGCAAGCGAAGCTTTCCAAAAGATGATGGAACAAATTTTGTTCGGAATCGACGGAGTTCAAATCTCTATCGACGATGTCATCGTGCACGCTGTGACAATGGAAGAACTCATTAACCGGCTCCGTAAAGTTTTCGAGAGATGTCGTGCGAACAACTTAAGGCTAAATCAAAGCAAGTGTGAATTCGGCGTTACCAAGATTTCGGTGTTAGGCCATGTAGTATCTGCCGATGGTATTAAGCCGGATCCGAAAAAGTGCGAAGCAATAAAAGCTACACCACCGCCAAAGAATGTATCAGATCTTAGGTCATTTCTTGGAACGTGCGGTTATGTTTCCAAATTCATACTGAATTACGCGAACATCGTGGATTCTTTGCGAAAGTTAACTCGGAGCGAAGTAAAATTTTCGTGGGGAAAGGAGCAAAAAGAGGCATTCGAAGCCCTTAAGGAAGCGTTGTCTTGCGAGCCCGTTCTCGCATGTTTTCGCTTAAACTCTCCTACGTATTTGATCACCGATGCTAGTCCAGTAGGTTTAGGAGCAATCCTGCTTCAAGACCAAACTAACGGCGAGCGAAAACCAATCGCCTACATAAGTCGATCACTTACGCCTACCGAACGAAGATATTCGCAAATCGAACGCGAAGCGCTTGGATGCGTATGGGCAGTCGAACGCCTACACAATTATTTGTTCGGAATCAATTTTACGCTACTTACTGACAACAAACCTCTGTCCAGCATGTTTGATCCGCAGTCCAACAAAGTCCTGCCACCGCGAATTCAACGTTTGGCCTGGAGATTGCATCAGTACAATTTCCATATACAACACGTATCGGGAAAGGACAACACTGCAGATTCACTGTCTCGACTTCCTTCGAAGTGTGAAAACTACACCGATAGCGGAACTGTTTGCGAGAATTATGTTAGGTTTGTTTATGACACCAACATGTTAGACCTGCAAGCTGTCACTCTTGCCGAGATGAGCCGCGAAACACGCAGAGATGACACTTTGTCCAAATTTTTCGCGCTGCAATATCGGAAGGCAAATCATGGGAAAAGGAATTACCCAAAATTCTTATGTCTTACCGAGCGACTCCTCATCCTGTTAGTGGGAAATCACCCACTATGTTGTTGTTCAATCGAGAAATTCGTATGAAAGTTCCACATGTCGAGTCAAATCAGACCAGCCAAAATGACGACGAGCTTCGTTCTTGATGTCACAAATATCAAGAGCGCATGAAAGATTATCATGAAAAGAAACATAACGCAACCCCGCACAACTTTAAAATCGGCGATATCGTATTTTGCGCAAACATGAAGCCAGCAAAGTTAGATTCTCAATTTCACCCGGCTAAGCATGTTATCATTCAGTCCCGGGGAGAGACACTTTTACCTTGGTCAACGCAGCAACTGGCACCACTCTTATTCGAAATGCAAAATACTTGAAGCGCACACCCACAAATGAGAATGAAGAAATTGTAGATACTAGCAACGACGAACAAAGTCATGGGTCTAGTAGTTCTAGTGATTCAGCGAATGTTGAATCTAGTGAGATCATCCACAAACATTCTGATGCTCGTATGGAAAGTGATCATTCCGATGATCAAGCCTCACAGGCAATGTCACGACTAGGTCCGGACGTGTAGTGAAGTCTACACAAGATAACGAGAACTTCGTATATTATTAGCTGATTAAAATAGTTTAAAATGATTATCTTTAATTAACTTTGAAATAGAAACCTTTGAACTTTGTCCAGGAAGGATGTAGTGTATTGCGTTACCTAAGCGTTACTATAGTCACACTATATCCTGTAAGACACGATCGGTACATGATTGTAAAAGTACATTCCTATGTAAAAGTAGTATTACTGATTCCTAGTACTGTATTGTGAATATAGCTTGTTGATTCTTTAATAAAATTCAGTTGAGCAATAGCAATGAAAGAAGTAACTTGACTGAGTCTAGACGACACAACAGCCGGACCCTTCGATCATCCTCCATTTGCAGACGATTTCGTATCCTCGCCTCTTCAAACAGTGCCCAAACGTGGTACCTCGACGCGGCGCGTGGTTATGGACTTGAGTTTCCCTCACGGCTCCTCAGTCAACGATGGCATTTCTCAAGACACCTATCTGGGCGAGCATTTTAAGCTACGTTTGCCTGGAATTGATCGCCTCGTTTAATTCATTCTCGAGAAAGGTCGTAACTGTCTCATTTTCAAGAAGGACTTGCGTCGGGCTTATCGACAGTTTCCTGTAGACCCCAAGGACTATAATTTACTGGGCTTTTGTTATAAGGGTAAATTTTATTTTGACACTCGTTGTCCTTTCGGTTTGCGTTCGTCAGCTATGATTTGCCAACGCACGACAAAGGCGGTCGTCCATATCTTCACTGAGCAGGGGTTTTTCGCAGACGTTTATCTTGACGATTTTTACGGCGCGGAATATCCATCTCTTGCAGCCCAGGCCTTTTCCTGTCTCGGTCAGCTATTCCAACATCTCGGCTTAGATTCTTCTCCTGAGAAGGACTCGCCTCCTTCAACGTCCATGATTTGTCTCGGTCTTCTTGTTGACACTGCAGCGTTCACCCTCGAGGTTCCTCCTTCACGTCTTGACGATTTACAGGCCGAACTCAAACTTTGGCAATCCTCTACCTGTTTTACTAAGAAACAACTTCAGTCCCTCCTAGGGAAGCTCTCTTTTGTTACCGCTTGCGTTAAGCCCGGTAGAATCTTCATGGCTCGACTCCTAAATAGTCTTCGCGAGTGCACGCAGCTAGCCCGTCACCGATACCCCATTTCTGCTTCTATGCTCTCAGATATTCAGTGGTGGCTCGATTTTCTTCCCCGGTTTAATCGTGTATCGCTCATCAAGCCTTCCTCCTGGGACTTTGAGAGCCTTAACTTCTCGACCGACGCCTGCCTTTCTGGAGGCGGCGCTACTTGTCAAACGGAGTGCATTAGCTTTGTTTTTCCTGATTGTATTTCTCCTGACAATCTTCATATCAACGCGCTGGAACTTTTCACGATCATTGTTTCACTCAAGCACTGGGCTCCTCAGTTACGCGGACGCAAATTCATCATTGCCTGTGATAACTCCGCTGCGGTGACCGTTATCAATTCTACAAGATCCAAGGATCCTTTCCTGCAGCGCTGTCTGCGACAACTTTGGTTCACCGCTGCTCTTTTCGATTTTGAAGTTCGAGCATTACACGTTCCTGGAAAACACAATCAATTCGCGGACTGTCTCAGCCGTTGGCATTCAGATGCTTCAGCTCGCGATACTTATTATCGTCTGTGTAGTGACTTTGATCAGATTTTTCATTATCAAGATATTGACTCTGCTTGTTTTTCTTTCGACGTTGCGTGACAATATTTTCTTTTTTCTTTTGTAGACTTCAACAGGGGATCAGCTTCACATTTCCCTCCAGCTGTTTCGCTAGTCACCTTGGAGTCTTTTGTGTCGCGTCTTATCACAATGGCTCACGCCACATCAACACAGAAAAACATTGCAGTTCATATCCGTAGTTACCAGATTTTTTGTGAACAGAGGGCTCTCCAGTCCTTTCCCATTAGTGTTAAATCTATAAGTTTGTATATCGCCTATTTAGTCATGCAAAAACGTGCTTCTGGTACTATTCTTAATCATCTTAGCAGCCTCAAACATGCTCATCAAATTGCCGGATACGAGCTCACCTGGAGTTCTAATTATCATTTTCAACTTTTGCTGAGGGGCACTAAACATTTCTTAGGCCAGGCTGTCGCTCGAAAATATGCTATTACGCCTTCTATTTTGCACGCCGCATTTGACCATTTCAATCTCTCACTTCCGCTGCACGCAGCTATGTGGGCTTTGTTTCTAGTTGCATTTTTTACTTTTTTACGCAAATCCAATTTAGTACCAGACAACCCGCGGCGAATTTCTCCTAAGGTCATCACTAGGGCAAGTTTGGCTTTTACACCTGTGGGCGCTAACATCCATGTCTCCGCTACCAAGACCATTCAGTGTCAGCAACGTTCTCTAGATTTGCCCATCTCCAGGGTCCCTGGGTCTCATCTTTGCCCCATTTTCGCTCTTCGTCGCCATTTATCCTTAAATCCCGGGCCAGTCTCGGCTCCCCTTTTTTCAGTTATATCGGGGTCTGGTCTACAGCCAATTACTTACAAGCAATTTTGCGCCTTTCTTTCTCGGGTTCTTTCTAGTCTACAATTAGATCCCTCTAAATTTTCTCCTCATAGTTTTCGACGGGGCGGGGCTACTTTTGCCTTTGACTGTCATATTCCCTCGGAAATCATCAAATTGCAGGGCGATTGGCAAAGCGACGCATATCTCGTGTATCTAGAATTATCTCAGCAGCAGAAACAGCGTGCGGGTCAAGCTATGGCGGACAAGCTTCAGACTATGTTTCCAGAATAATGATTTATTAATAGATTTCCATTATTTTTTTTTTTTCATTTATAACCTTTTCGTATTCTCCTCAATCACCTCACTCTCCCTTTTTCTACACTCCAGTTTGGGCACTTTGGCGTTCTTGTTTATTGTCCAGTATTTTGTCAGGCAGTTCTCGCACTGTGCAATAAACTCATTTTGCCCAAACTGTTGTGTCGTCTTGGTAACGCGGGTGATTGAGTAATCATTGATTAATGATGGTTAATTAACTAGTGATAGAGATATCGAATTTCCTTTATAATCTAGTGCGTGGCCTAGCGTCTCAACTTTTGTCAGATCCGGAGACGAGGCGTAATCTCTTCCCACCACCCCCACCCTTAAACAATGTATTTTTTATTAGTTTTTTCTTCTTAGTTGCGTTCTTGTTTATTGTCCAGTATTTTGTCAGGCAGTTCTCGCACTGTGCAATAAACTCATTTTGCCCAAACTGTTGTGTCGTCTTGGTAACGCGGGTGATTGAAGGCCCTGACGACCTATTTGCACGAAACGAAGACGACGTTCTCACGAACACTCTGAAGAACTTTTGGGAGACTGAGGCAATTGGCATTAAGGATCTGACTCAACAGGAAACGAAGGAATCTTTCAAAATCGACGTTGCATGGAGCGAAGACCGATACGAAGTCAATTTACCGTGGAAAGAAAATTGTTTGCCGCTATCCTCCAACAACTATCTGTTGTGCGAATCGCGATTAAGATCCTTACATCACAAGCTGCGCAAAGACCCAGAGTTATTAGCCGAATACGACAACATCATTCAAGACCAGTTATCAAAGGGGATAATCGAGCAAGTACCGAATAAAGAGAAAATTGCTGCGCGACATCATTTGCCTCATCATGCAGTAGTAAGAAAGGATCGTGAGACTACGAAGGTACGAATTGTGTACGATGGGTCAGCAAAATCTGGTAACCAAGAGAAGTCACTCAACGATTGCCTTGAAACTGGGCCAAATCACATCCCACATGTTTTCAATATGCTAGCGCGCTTTCGGAAGAATCCTGTCGGTATCACAGCTGACATTGAAAAGGCCTTCCTTATGGTGGGAATCCAAGAGGATCATCGAGACTTTCTTCGATTCTTATGGGTAAGAAACCCAGATTGCGTTAAGCCTGAAATTGTACAATACAGGTTCACACGGCTCGTGTTTGGGTTACGCCCCTCGCCTGCTATTTTGGGAGCGACAATTCTACATCACTTACAACTACACAAACAAAGTGACCCCGAAATCGCTGAATTATTGGAACAATCTCTGTACGTGGACGACCTGTTAACGGGGGAGTCAGACGAAGAAAGAGGTCTCTCTGTTTACAAGAGATGCAAGAAGGTTATGTCCAGTGGAGGATTCAATCTCAGAAAATGGCGATCGAACTCGCGAAAACTACAAATGCAAATTACGAAACTTGAAAGTTCACCAGGATCAGCAAACACACAACAGGAGGTCACTAATGTCAACAAAGAAGATGACGAATCATTCGAGAAATCGAGTGTTGGTTGTGACTCAACGACTTCTGACAACGAAGATGCAGTAGTTAAAATTCTAGGAATGAACTGGAACACTCTCACAGACGAAATTTTCTTCAATTTCTCCGATCTGTGCCCATTTGCACAAGCACTTCCCCTCACCAAGCGATCTGTTCTCAAGGTTACGGCCAAGATCTTCGACCCCATGGGATTTTTGACGCCTCTAACAATAGAGATGAAGATCTTGTTTCAAGAACTTTGTATCAACAAAACAAACTGGGACGAAGAATTACAAGGAACTTTGCTTCACCGATGGAAATCGTTTCTCCAAGATCTGAAGTTCATTGGCGGCTATCGTATTCCTCGATGCTATTTTTCGCGACAACCTGTAACCTCTCAGATACATGGCTTCAGTGATGCTTCAGAACGCGCCTACGCCGCGGTGGTTTATATTCGAAACACGTACAGTGATGGTCGAATCGAAGTTAAATTGGTCGCTTCAAAATCGAGAGTCGCTCCTATCAAGGCACAGACAATTCCTCGATTGGAATTACTAGGAGCATTAATTTTGGCCCGACTTGTTAACAAGTTAAAGTCGATTGGAGCTGAATACACAACCGTTCTCTGGAGTGATTCTACAACTGCTCTATGCTGGATCAAAAATGAAAGAGTATGGAAGCAGTACATCGGTCAAAGAGTAGAAGAAATTCGACGTCTAACTCCCAAAGATTTATGGAGGCACTGTCCAGGAGAATTAAATCCTGCCGATCTACCATCGCGTGGACTATCAGCGAAAGAACTTTCTGCCAGCAATACGTGGTGGAATGGTCCGAGTTTTTTGTATCAATCCGAGAATGAATGGCCCGAAACTTCTCCATCGGAACAAGTGAATGAAGAACAAATTTTACAGGAAGCCGTCAAGAACGTACCAGATGTAACACATTCCCTTATTACCACTGCCTGCGACAAATTCAACCCGAAAGTTGACCAGATAATCGACATTGGACGGTTCAGCGACAGGACGAAATCAATTCGAATAACCGCGTTTGTGATCAAGTTCATCAACAAGCTCAAAAACCGAACACTTGAAAACCGGAAAGAAGAAATGGAAGATTTAACAACCACCGAATTGAAGGACGCCGAGAATCTGTGGATACACTCGGTTCAAGCATCGTCTTTTACCGATGAACTTTCTTTTCTGACTCGAAAGGATTCGAAATCAACGCCACCTATACATGTTCTGCAGTTGGGACTGTTTCTCGACGACGATGGAATTATCAGATGCAAAGGACGGATCGCAAATGCTTCCCTAGCGTCTTCTGCCAGAACCCCGATACTTTTGGCTGCCAAACACGCTTTCACCAATCTCACTATTAGGAATATTCACGATTTAGTCAAGCATTCTGGGATAAGGGACACGCTTACGAACTTACGAGAACGTTTCTGGATTCTACGCGGTCGCGAGACAGTCAAGAAAATCATTCGACACTGCGTTGTCTGCCGACGATTCGATGCAGCACCATGCAAACCTCCACCGTTCGCTGATCTTCCAACCAACCGAGTCTCAGACGATCCACCTTTTACTAATGTTGGAATCGACTTCACTGGGCCATTTTACGTAAAGGAAAACGTCAACAACGCTGAATGTGTCAAAGTTTACGTGTGTTTATTTACATGCGCTTCAACCCGTGCAGTGCACTTAGAGTTGACTCGTGGACTCGGTGTCCAAGATTTCCTGCTTGCTTTCAGAAGATTCACCAGTAGAAGAGGACTCCCGGCTAATCTTCAATCGGACAATGCAAAAACTTTCAAATCATCAAGCAAGGATATTCGCAAATTAGTACGGTCACCGGAAGTTTGGCGATATTTAATCAACAATCAAATCAGTTGGAATTTCATTGTGGAAAAGGCGCCGTGGTGGGGAGGCTACTGGGAAAGGCTCGTTCGCAGCGTAAAGTCTCCTATCCAAAAAACCATCGGAAAATCTACCCTCACCCACGAGGAGCTAAGTACTCTGTTAACGGAAATAGAAGGGCTGATCAACGCAACGCCGCTGACTTATGTGTATGACGACGAGGAATCGATCTCGTATCCCTTAACGCCATCGGATTTGATTTATGGTCGAAGAGTTACTACAACTCCGAACAGTCAACATTTCGAAATCACTAGCACCTACGATTCTCTGACGAAGCGACTTAAACATCATAGACATCTGTTGGGACAATTCACTCGTCAATGGAGAAATGAATATTTAACCAGCTTAAGAGAACATGCTATCAAGAACGCACGGCTAAGGGGAGACAATGGCGATACAGGGGTCAAGGTTGGAGACATTGTTATTCTCAAAAATGACAGCGTTCGTCGAAGCTTCTGGAAGCTTGCGAAAGTAGAAGAATTGCACCCGGGCCGAGATGGAAAGGTGCGAGCAGTTTCAGTTAGAGTTACGAGTACCAATGGTAGTTCAATTCAGCGCTTGCGACGACCCATTCAACACGTTGTTCCTCTTGAGGTGAACTCTTGAACTGAACTGAGAACCTTAAACGTTGCCGTATTTAGATTTATTTCCTCACACTTGTAAATAACGCGAACATTTAGAAACAACGAACTTTGCGATAACAAATATAGTCTTAGTTTATTTTTCAAAGCGAATATAGTTGACTCACACTAAGGTGATCAACTAGGGGGAGTGTCATAAACAGTCACGCGTATTTGTTATGTAATCAAAGTCGTCACGCTTTTCGTTTTGTTTGTACAAAGAGAGCATATGACAACAACTTGATTTACTGGTTTTTGTAGGATATCAAATTTAGTGTGTATATTAGGGGCGTGTGATTTAACTCGAGGGGTTCTTTCTGTACGATATCAGAGTGGAATAAATCAGAATTTATACGAAAACGATTACGACTACTTCGTGTTTATAATACTCTCTTAGAAAAGGCAAACTAATCGAAATGAAAACAACAACTTCAGAGTTTGGTAGACAATCCTTGTAAATGCGTGACTTTAGACTTGCGTGACATTTGTGTTACAGTTGGTCTTTGTGCCATTTGATTCCTTCGGATAGTCTTTCTCTCCCGCTGATTTTCAGTTGTTGCATCGTACGCCCTTTCACTATTCACTATTCATATTCGGCGTTAATCCCAAGTTAATTTCTTAAGTTTGGTTTCAAGCCACCGGCGTATAGGGACTGATATGTAAGTTGTATTCGCTTTTTTCACTTTTGTAGCTTGCCCCATTTATGCAAGGTAACGTTTCTCTTGCTATGATCTTATGCCTTCGTGTGTGTTATTTAGTCACCGCCTTCGTATCGTTAGGCGGCTATTTTCAGTTATAATTTTCCTTCATCTCGTTTCGAGCAAGCTCTTTCGTCTTTATTTTGTATATATATTTTGTGTTTGCCGTGGCACTTGGTTCATTTATAAGTTCCTTTATTATGTGAGATTCATTTACGCTGTTAAGTCGCCACGTGTTTAATTTAATACAATCGATTATATAAGTCTCTTTTTTAATTCCCCTCCAGTTTACGAGGTTGATTAAAGCTATGTCTCTGTAACGTATCCCCTGGTTTGGTTGGTATTTTCTCCGGTCGCGATTTTCTTGGCTCGTCATACGGTCTTGATGTTCGTTTGCCGCAACAATCCCTATCTTCAGAGGTCCAGTTACCTGGAAAACTCTGGACAGAGACATAAGAAATGCAGAAAATATAAATTCTTTTAAATTAGCTCTAAAAAATAAATCAAGATTGGTGGAAACTATTAGTTACATAAAGGGACAATGCAATAATTTAAATAGGAGAACCGAAGATTTTATATACTATTGAAAGTGATTATTTTTTTAATTAATTACTTATTTATTAGATTAATATTTAAATTTGATTATTTATTAGATTAATATTTAAATTTGATTATTAATGAATAATTATTTATTAGATGATCTATATTTCATACTTTATATAAACTTTTAAGATTATGTTATTAGGTTCTCTTTTCTTAAATATTTTAGCATGTACCAAGGAGGTCTTTCGTAAGCGAACTCGTTGAGCATCGCGCCCCGTTCGCAAAGTCAAAATGTTAGTAGTTTGGCCCTCTATCGCAGAAGGATTCCCAACCCCGTGTCCACGAGTTACAATATATATACAATGAAAAATTGTCATATACTTGTGAAAAATTCGTGGCTTTTGATTTTATGTTTTGTAGAGGGCAACAAGTTCATCGGTTTTATTATAACGGTCACGTGTTTACCTTCTTTAAAGAAAGACGTTACTTTACCTTACCTTAACTCTCCTTGAATTTCAGCCATATATTTGCGAGCAATTCAAGCTATTTTTTTTAACGATGTTATAAGTTATTGTGAAGGACGAAAAATGAAGCGTTATATAAACGTTAACATAAAAATATCGAACAATTTATGTAGCAAGTTTTGAAATTTAGGTTTGAAAATTTTTTCCATTTTTTTTAGCATTCCAAAGAGCAACTTTTCCGATGCCATTCGATCATCTACTAAGTTTAGTTACAAAGTGCTACAGCTTATTTTATTACAAAGTACAATGGTCTGTCATTAACCTGTGAGTATATTCGAAAGCCTTGGACTCTCTACATTGGTTCATTTCTTTCGAGCAGTTTATGCTGAAAACTTTCAAGTAACAATGTCAACGGGCAGGAGAAGACGATCAAGAAATATGAAACGTTATTTCGTACTACTACCATAACGTGATCTTCTAAGAGTACTGTGTCCCAATATCCAGCGAGTCAAAGAACTAGAATTGCTGTAGATTCATTACAAGCACTACTATTAAATGGTGTCCCTTCAAATTTGCAAACAGTTGAGGGTGAAATAGTTCCTGAAACTTTTACTAAGAACTTGATGGAAATGATGCTGATGAACAAGTATTTAATGAATATACTGAAACCAGTAGTTTTCTGCCTCAGCCTGAGAATGTAGAGTTAGAGCAAGATCCTATTAAAAAACAGTTGACCTTTCAAAATAAATTAGATTGGCCATCCATAGGAAATGTACCTAGAGATACACAACACCATTTCTTGCTACTATGGATTCCTACACGATTTCCAGATGGTAAGGGTGATCCAAACAAACCCAACTTTATTGAGAGATGTCCCTTTGCCTGGTAGAGTGCAATAACTTACAAAGTTTGCTCAATATATTGATAATAAGTGGGTTTAAAGGTTTGCTACTCATCCTAAGTTTTGGGCCTTAAACATGATAGAGACAGAGAATTCTACAGCAAAGTATTGTTTTTCTTAAGCAAAATCCTGGAGAGTCTCATCTCACCCCTGATGAATTGAGCACTATGGTTGATACCCATTGTTTTTATATATTTATGTCAAAACTTTGAAGGTATTTAGGTAATATAACAGGAAGTTCTGCATATTGGCATAAAGTAAGAGAGGAATTGAAGGCAATAATTGCTTATAAAGAGGCCCCAACAAGTTTTTTTTGGCATTTTCCTTAGCTGATATGCATTGGCCAGATTTGCACTCCCTTTTTAGTTAGCAACCAAACTCTCTTAACGCTGAAGAAAGAAGGCTGAATTCAGGGACAAAAAAAGCACCTTGGTACATCACTTAACTCCACGAAACTACACTCCAGGAAAACATAATCAATTTGACTAAACATTGGTCGAAAAATAATTGGGGTAAATCCAACAACAGTTTTTAGAGCGTTTCAAAACACCTTTTATATCAATCGGAAATACAAACACGAGCTTTTAAACTCAAACTATCCCTCGTTTAAAGACGCCTTTTTTGAGTCTGCTGGCATATTTTGTTTAAAGGAAGTTAAAATGGAATTCCACCTGAGATCTGGAGGCATGGAGGTCCTTTACTACACCGCAAGCTCCATGAACTCCTCATCTACTGCTGGGAACAGGGCAAGCTTCTGCAAGATCTTCGAGACACAGTCCTCATCACCCTGTGCAAGAACAAGGGAGAAAGGTCTGACTGTTCCAACTATTGGGGGATCACCCTTCTGTCCTTTGAAGGTAAAGTCCTTGCCAGAATACTGCTCAACAGGCTTGTACCATCCATCGTCGAAGAACATCTCCCATAGAATCAATGTGGCTTCAGAGCCAACAGAGGCACATGGTGTTCATTCTCCGTCAACTCCAGAAGAAGTGCCGTGAACAAAACAAGGGTCTGTGTGCAACTGACACAGTCAGCAGGAAAGTTCCATGGCGGATTCTTAGGCGTGTTGGCTGTCCCAGAAAATTCCCCAACATGGTGCTTCAACTGCACGAAGACCAACGCAGCTAAATCAGACTCCACAGAGACCCGTCAGAGCCCTTACTCATATCCAATGGCGTGAAGCAGGGTTGTGTCCCGGCGCCAACCCTCTTCAGCATCTTTTTCAGCATGATGCTTAAGCACGCCACTCAAGACCTGGATGATGAGGATTGCGTCTACGTCAGTACCACCTGGACGGCAGTCTGTTCAATCTATGGCGCCCGCACGCCCACACCAAGACCCAGGAAAGGCAGACCCCAGATGACGCTGCCCTTGTTGCCCACACAGAACGAGCTCTGTAGCAAATCAAAACCTCCTTTGCAGATGCTGCTCAGCTCTTTGGCCTTGAGGTTAGCCTCAAGAAGACAGAGGTCCTTCACCAGCCCATGCCCCAGGAAGAATACCACCCGCCCACCATCACCTTCGGCAACACAGAGCTGAAATCAGTTCAGCAATTCACCTTTCTGAGCTGCACCATCTCATCCGATGCCATGATCGACAAGGAAATTGACAACAGACTGGCAAAGGGAACACTACCTTTGGTAGACTCTATGAGAATGTGTGGAACAAAAAGAGCTTGAAAAGAAAGACCAGATCAGCGTTTACAGAGCTGTTGCACTCACTACTCTCCTCTATGGCTCCGAGGCCTGGATCACATATCGCAGCCACATCAAAATCCTCGCGTGTTTCCATAGTAGTATACGGCGTCTCCATAGGAAACAAAGGGATGCCGCCATCAATTAGCATAAAGAACAAAGGATTCAAGATGGCGTCTAAGTCCCTTAGGGAGGATTCCAGATGGCGGTGGTGACGTCATCGAACATGACATCATTCAAGATGGCGGTTTAATATATCCATAATGTGTAGGTGTATGAGGGAAAGCACACTCCGACATCCGTCAGAAGGAGGTCATCTCGGGTAGATTTCCGATTACGAAATCCGAGCTCGCCCGATGTTGTCTTCGCGATGAAGGCCCTATTTAGCAAATTAGACTCGCAAAACAGAGTAGAAACGAACACGTGCTTCGTTTTCGCTCGTAAGCTCATAAGCTCGTAAGATATTGCTTTTTTTTTCGTTGCTTACCTTTATTACAGACTCCACAAAATTTTTGCGATGCCTCCTTTTCAAGGATGGCCGATTACAACTACAACATAGTAACACCTCCACGAAATCTGTCAAAAGGAGGATTTTAAAACACCGGAAATGGAGAGGAAAGATAAATGATACGGTCGATTAACTCCCAGACAATTGAATGGTCCAAACTCGCAAAGGCGGGAAATTT